CCCCAAAACCCCAAAACCCCATGGGGTGATTCTTCCATTAAAATTAGGCATTTGTATAATATTGCTTTCGCTAATTGGACATGAAATTAATAGAAGTAACTTAAGATAGATAAAATTTTTAATTTTATAAATTTATGAAAAGAATGATAACCTAATTATTCTAAATTACCCTTCTCTTTGCTGGAATAGTAACAGCATTTGATGCAGAGAAGAATGCTTTAACTAAAGCAGAAATCGACATCAGAGAATCAGTATATGAGGTTTCTGATAAATTAGATGACTATCTTAAGCAAATGATTGAAGATAAATTGGACTACGTTGTCGTAAATGATCTGTTTGGATAGAATTTCACAAGATGTTTATATGAAGAAATGAAATGGGTGGATGAGAACAAAAAGAAAGCCTTTGAGGATGGGACAGTCATTTCAAACGATGGTTTTAATGGAGTAGACTATAATGCTAGAATAAGCAAAATCTTTTTGTTTAAAAATTTCAAAGCTGACGACTTCAAAAATATTCCCTGTGCAATAGAACTGAGTGAGTGGACCAGATTACTTCGAAAAAGTATTGATAAATATGTTCCACCTTAATTTGAATTGGACTATGTGGAAGGAAAGTACATTCATTATTTCTAAGGAGGGCTTTTCGTTCCTCACTATGATACTATTGGTGATCCATATGAGAACGCTTACTTCGGTAATAGAAATTATGGTACAAGAATTATGTCAATATTACTCTATTTAAACCCTGATTTGAAATAATCTGATGGTGGATCTCTTGAAATATTAAATGAGGATAAAGAAATTGTTGATAGAGTTGTTCCCTCACTAGGGAAGACAGTATTTCTTAGATCTAACAAGGTACTTCACTCTTCAGAGCAAATTAGAAGTGAAAAAAGATCCCTTGTTCTATTTTTCAACCTAAAGCATAAAGATTAAGTAGTACAGTGATATGAAATGGATATGATCAATAAAAATCTTTAGACATACCAGAAATTTTAGTAATTCTTTAATTCAGATAATTTTTAAAATCTTTAAAACTCATTCTCTTGTTTAATTTCATACCTTTGGTTGATTAATTTGCTAATTCAAAGCTATTAAGACCATCATGGGGTTTTGGGGTTTTGGGGTTTTGGGG